GTTGATTGGCAAAAACAACAACAACAACAACAAAAACGTTTATGTATTTCCGGTTTAAATTCCTTTCTCTCCTATTAGACCATTCAGCAGCACTTTACAGTGTGATTTCACTGAGTGAAACCATAATCACACTCCATTCAAGTTTATACCACGTTTTATAAATATAGGGATTTTTCAACTGAAGTGTTGTTGTCAACATAAAAAATGCCACATGCCTTAGTGCTAAGTATCTTGTAAAGAATGATTAAATTGAAAATACTTTTGAGCACATATTATGTGTAAGCCAACATGTTAGGTGGGAAATGATACTAACCTAAACTAAAGGAATGTAAGTATTCTTCAAAGTATCCAAGAGGACATACTCATTAGTTGATTGGGTCATTTTAAGGCCTGAAACAAAGCATTTGTGTTCTTCCAGGTTGAAATTTTTTCCACTGAGTCAACATGTCATCACATCAAGTCCCTTTTACTGGCCACTGGACTCCATTATGCAAAGGGAACTTTGCCCATTTAATATAAAAACATAACTAATATTTTGAATTCACAACTTGTGAGATGTGATTAAAATGCAACTTAATTTTAGTCTCTCACAGCTGTTTTCAGGTATATTCAGTGTTGGTTGTCTTTCCCTGCCCCTAGATGGAAAGTTGGGTAGAGTCCATGTATTTTCTGCTCATTTTTAGGTAACTGATAGTCCTATAGTAACTAAATCCAACCACAGCTTCATTCCAAAATTATAATGTTGGATACAAGATATAAACAAATGCATCAAACTTTACTTGAAAATAAGACTTCATCCCCCTCTCCTGTTCTCAGGTCTCCAGATAACTTGCCCAGCAGGGATGCAGTTGGTTTAGGCTCAGCACTCCCCCATTCACTAGAGGCCACTTTAGGACCCACCCTGGGTGGAGGTGGGCAGGAAGTGGGGAGAAAAGAAGCCAGGAGATGGAGCACTTCTTCCTGGATTTGAATAGCTTTGAGCTTACCCTGCCTGGGCTATAGTTAAAGCAGCCCATATGGAGCCCTCCTGGGTTCTTCAGCATTTCCTATTAATGAAGACTTCTTTCCAGGGGACTCTTCAGGTGAATGCTGAGCTATTCCTCTGCTTGTTTATAACTCCTTCTCTGACCCTAGAAATCCAGGGTTTACTCCAGCCCCTTTAGATGGGTCCCAAGATGGTGCCATACCTTGTCAAAAAAAAAAAAAAACAACCCCACAGACATCTCTTTCCCTAGTGACTGTGAGAATGCAGGCCCATCCCAGTGCGGCACTCCCCACCCACCGTGCCCCCCCATCCTGTCACAGGATGGAGCTTTAGCTTTCCCAGAGTGAGGCGAACTCCAGTCCTCTGGACTACCTAACTACAGTCTCTGGCAGGCTCCTCTGGGAAGGCCTCTCACTGGATTTGAGATGAAGGGTGTGGCATCCCCACACTCCTCTCCAAAGAAACTTCCTCACCCATTTTGCCCCTGCATTCTCTGACTTCTCACTTTTTAGCCTCAGCCTGGACCCTTTGGTCCAGGGAGTCTGTATATTTCTTTGTAACTTGCCCTAAGGAGACTTTGCCTCGCCTTCACTTTGGAACTGATGATTACTCACTTACCATCTCAGCTGAAACTGCAGTTTAAAAAGCTATTGTGCAGCCAATTACTAACTATGGTCTTGCACCCAGGGTCTTGGTCTAAAATAGACAAGTAAGCTCACTACTGGAACCGGAAGCTAGCCAACTCAGTTGGCTAGGAAATGTCTGCCAGGCAAATTAGAACAATTGAAAAGAGTGACAAGGGCAGAATTATAGGAAGCAATTATTTAAAGCAATAAATCTGCCCAGCTTACATTACTGAAAGACACGACACAAGAAAATATTGAGCCTATCATAGCAATGGCCTATTATCCTGACTTGGCTATTCCTCCATGCTTACCTGATGACTATTTAACAGAATTTGACATAATGAAATTTGTAAGTGGAATTATTTTAGAAACAAAATTGCTATTTTTTATACCTTAGAAAGAGTAAGGAGGAAAACAAAATATTAATTGTAAGCATCTGACATTTATAAAGCACTTTATAATTTCCAAATTGCTTCCATTTGGAGCATTTCATTTTCACTGTTTTATTTGCAGTTTACAACTAGCCTGAGAGGTGATTAGTTCAGGGATTGTTATCCCAATTTGAAAGTGGAAAAAACTGAGGTTCACAGAGGGTAAGTGATCTGCCCACAGTCACAGAGCTAGTAAAGTGATGTGAGACCTGGTGTTTTTGCTGCCCAAGTCCCAAGTGCCACCTGCCATTGTACATGGGTAAATACAGTTTTTCAGGCTGAGGCCTCTCATTCACAGCATTGAGAGGTACTTCCTAGGCTGCTGAAACTGTTAAGATATGCCCTTCATTTTCTCCTTTCACTTATCTCAGACTACATCCTATGTGGGGCTACAGGGATCAAGAGGGACTTGAGAATCTTTACAGTCACTTGAAAATGCCTGCTGCACTTTTGGGTTTTGAGTTAAGATGAGAATTACACACTCTAAGATGGAAAAATGCAACAAAATGTTGAACTCATAGATGGTTTTATCCACATACTACCAGGGGATTTTATAGTTTATATTACAGTCTATACCACACACATCTCATGTTTAATATCTGTAAGCTGATCTGGGTTTATATATTAGATATATTTTTGAGAAGATGATGTTAAATAAATAATGCTCACAATTCCCTCAATGATTTTTATGACCATAACAGAGATGGACTCACAGAGGAAAAAAAAATTGCTTCTGGCATGGAATAAAAATCACCGATTTAGAATTCCAACATTCACTTCAAGACACTTTCTGCTTTTGTCAATATGGAATCTCGGTGCTTTAATTATATTTATCACATAATGTCTGTGAGGAGTTCATCAAATTGATAGCCTACACAGTGTCTGCATACAAATTTCAAGGTACCAATACATTAAAATGCAACTTGGTGGAAATTTACAATGCAATGAAAATTAACTAACTTCATGGAACTTCATAGATACAAGACTGTAGAATGGTCTTAAAACTTACCAGCTGAAAAAAAGTACATGAAAATTCTCTATTTAATGGGGCTCAGCCTTTACCAGTGCATCTGAAGTATTACTTTGCCTTTAAGCACATTATCCCCACCACAGCAGCCCCACCACCCCAGGCCACGCTCCCAGGAGCAGTCGAGTCAAATTGTTGCTAGGGATGCTAATGAATGGGGGTTCATTTAATTACCAGTTTATTATAGAATCTCTGACTACTTGGTATTTCGTTGGAGGGGAGAGGGTTCTAGTTTTCAGGGATTGAGTCAGTAGGAGTCTTAACTCTGAATTGCCTCATCTTAAACAACTGCCCAGGTCCCTCTTCTATGTTGGAGGAGACCTATTGAGACAATCAGAAACTGGCTATTTTTTTTTTTTTTTGGTCAGCACCTGTGAGACCTTTCTAAGTGAGCATGTCTGGGAGCTTGGGGCTGCAAATGACAGAATATCCCATCAAAAGTAGCTTAAAGACCGACGACATTTATTATTTTAACAATCAACCTCAAAGCGGGCTGCTTTGGGGTTGGTCCTGCAACTCAGGGCTGCCATGAAGAAGTGTCAGTGATGGTCACAAGATGGTCGTGGCAGCGCTGAGCTGTGCCTTCTCACAGGACGGCGTCTCAAAGCAGGAAAGAGAGAGGAGGGGCAGAACCCTCTCCATGTACACCTCTTTACGTGGGAAAGGGGGAAATTTCCCAGAAGCCTCACATCTCACTGTTCAGAACTGTGTCACATGCCCACATGCCAGGCCCTGCCGGAGATGAATGGATTGCCATTACTATGATCGACTCACATCAATCATGGCTCATCCTCTGGGGCTCGGGGGGAGGAGTCCGTCTTCTCTGCGCTCTTTGCTGCTGCAACCTGACCCAAACTGAAGTTCTTGTCAGCATCTATTGGGTAGATGCTGACAACATCCGCCACGATGGTCTGGGTGAGTTTAACCGAATGAAGAGTGTCTCCCAATAAGAGGTTTTGGAGTCTGTTCACTCTGATTGGAACAAGAGAGCTGAAAGTAATGCCGAGGCCAGGGGCTCCAGTCTGGCGCTAACTCCCGAGGGGGAGGGCCTGGTCCCTGGTCACACCGCTGTTCGATCCTAGCGGCCATTTGAATCACCAGGGGAACTTCAAAAGCCATCTCTGCCCAGCGCCCCAGATGTTCTGATTCCGTTGCCGGGGAGGAGAGCGCAGGGGAAAGGGTTTCGTGGTTTTTGGAGCTGTGGAGGATGCTGTAATGTGCAGCATGGAGAACCCCAACCCTGGTGAAGGCCAGGGCTCTCCTGCCTGAGGGCCTCAGCCAGGACCCAACAGGAAGCAGAGAAGTAAAAAGAATCCTTGGCTTTAAGAGCAGAAAGACTAGAACTCTGCACAACTCAGAGATGAAAAAACGGATCGCACTGACTCCCGTGCTATCCTTGATAACCCTCCCTTCTGGTCCCATGCCATCTTGGGCACTTTTTATATCTACCCTCCAACTGGCCTCTCGGACCCCACTCCATTCTCCCCCCGCTCCGAGGCCACCCTACACTCAACAACCAAAGGAACTATTGTAGACCACATTCCTGGACGTGCCCGTCTCTGCTCGCGACGTCTGCCTGTTGGCCAAATTAAATCCCAGATCCTCTGCCGTCTGTCCTACAGCTTGTACTGCTACCTTATTATAATAACTAGGATTTATTCAAGGGTTCTAACAGACCCTGGGTTAAGTGCTTTGATGACTTTAAATCAGGAAATCTTTCAACACTAAAAGCACAGCTATTATCCTCCCTTTACATGCAAGGAAATTGAGGTTTAGTGTCCTCACTTGCTCAGGTCACACAGGTGGTAAAAGTGGCGGATCTAGGAGTCAAGTCCAGCTAGTCTGACTGCGGAGGCCATATCCCTACATGCACCATGTGCTCAGCCAAACCGACTACTGCCATCGCCCGGACTCTCCCTGCATCTCCCCACCTCTGTGCCTTCGCTTTGGTTGGTGCCTCTCCCCTAGAAAGCCTGGGCACTGGGCAATGATGTTTATAGAACCCTGGAAGACTGGCAAGGAGGCACTTGTCTTGGCATTGTCCACAGGAGAAACAAAGAAGATTGAATGTATCCGCCCATTCCCTCCTGCCTCCTGTTTTTCACTGGTCAAGTTCATGGTGGATCTGGTTGGGACACGTCTATGGTTTTCTATACAGTGCCCCACAGCCCCAGAAGAAGAGCAGTGCCTAGGCCTGGGGAGGGCCCAGAGGGTACAGTCGGAAGGGGCAGGCTGCAGGCCTGGGCTGCATGGGGAAGTAGAGGGAGAGGAGAGTGTGCTGGTCTGGGAGGCCTGGGAGAGGGTGGAGGTCACACAAGGGCCCAGAGCAGATGACGTGGCTTAAGGCCAGAAGTGAGAAATGTGCTATGGTAGCAAGAGTCCTGAACTGGGAGTCAGGAGACCTTCATCCAAATGCTGCTTCTACCACTGCTCAGGGGGTGCCTATGAGCACATCATCTAATCGCTGCAGTGAAATGTGGAGGTTAAACTAAATGACCCTTGAGAGACAGCCACGCTCTAGAATTCTCTAGAATGGGAGAGGCTGTCGTCAAAGAGGGGGCTGAGGGTTAGAGATTTTGGAGGTGGCTCTTTTGTGACAGCCAGATAATGAGGTCCAAGGTGTGGCTGGCTGGCTGCTTCCCTGGAGAAGGTCCGGGTGGTGGCGGGCACCGCCAGAACGGGAACAGAGGGGCAGAACCCGACCTGTCAGTAGTGCGTTCCTCAAGGCTCTTGTGCTGCGCTAATGACACTTGTTTGCTGGTACCACCCCCCACAGAACCTGCAGCCCCGGAAAAAACTACCACTCCCCAGGGCTCGAGGCTCCAGGAGAGAGAGGCCTCCTGCTTCTCTTGGGGGGTGATAGCAGGCAGTTGCCCTGCGAAGGAACTGACTAGTCTGGAGACCCTGTGGGCTTAGAGAGGGTCACCCAGGATACTGACTTGGCCACTCCTTGGGGTTCTCCAATTTTAAACAATATACTTATATACTATTGAGTTACCAGCCCAAGAATATATTATCTTGGCAATATTAACAAGAAGGAAATGTAAATAGAGAAAAGTATAATTTAACTGTGGAAATTCAGGTGATCCAGGAAATAGAGTCCAGCTTCAAGCTTAAATATTCAGACAGATGGAATCCTAGCAGGTCCCAAATCTAACGGAAAGTATTTGGGCTTCTAATAGCAACATCTTTAAGAGCTAAAGATGTTAAGCACATCTCACTGGAATGAGAATGGTCATACAATTCTTTATCTTTTTTTTTTTTTTTGAGATTTTATTTATTTATTTATTTGACAGAGAGAGAGCGCAAGTGAGCACAAGCAGGGGGAGCGGGAGAGGGAGAAGCCGACTCCCCGCTGAGCAAGGAGCCGGATGCGGGGCTTGATCCCAGGACCCTGGGATCATGACCCGAGCAGAAGGCAGGCGCTTAACCGACTGAGCCACCCAGGTGCCTGGGTCATACAATTCTTTATGCTATTCAGACAAAAGTTATTACATAAATAGGGTATACACAATATTACCTACCAAGAATGCAAAAGTAATAGCCACAAAAAAATTAAAGCCTCCTGATATTCACTTGTGCACGCGCAAAGCACTTTTCTTCATCAGAGCTCAAAACACATTTCATAGAACTAAATACACACCTACACACATGCACATGTGAAACAGAGGAAATCCAAACATGGTGATGAGCTATCAATGTCAATGTCCTGGCTGGGATATTGTGCTGTAGTTCTGCAAGATGTCACCGTTGGGGAAGGGGGGCAAGGGGTACGTGGGACTTCTCAGAACCTCTCTATATTATTTCTTACAACTGCATGTGAATCTACAGTGATCTGAAAATAAAAAGTTTAAAATAAACCACTTCACTCTCTCACTTCCTATTTCATGTCTGCAAGGCTCCTCAATGCAAACATAGAAGAAATATGAGTTGGGAAATAAACAGGATGATTATTTCACAATGCAGTCTGGATAAAACAATTTCTGTCTGGAACTTGGAAACCAGTGGACTGGCCTTAACTGACCAAAAAAAGTGGATTTCAGCACTGAAAGTCTCAGTGAAATTATTCTTTCCTGGCGTTTTTCTAAGTTCACACCCAGAGATTGTTAAAATGAGCACTGTGTCAATCACAGTTTTCTTAACATTTTGTTCTTAAAAATTTCAGCTTCATTGAGGTATAATTGACTTATAATTTTTTTTAACATTTCAGTGCCACAGTTTTTATTAGGGTATAGAAAGAAACAAAGTTTTCGATTTTTTAAAAGATGTTATTTATTTGAGAGAGAGAGAGAGCACAAGCAGGGGGAGGGGCAGAGGGAGAAGCAGACTGAGCAGGGAGCCCAATGCAGGACTGGTTCCTGGGACTCCGAATCATGACCCAACTCAAAGGCAGATGCTTAACCAACTGAGCCACCCAGGTGCCCTAAAACTTCGATTTTTAAACTACGTTTGATGTTGAGAGTTCAAGCTCAAGTTAAGAGAAGGAATTTTTGGCATAGACAGCAGTGTTCAAAGCAGCTCATTTTCTATCAGGAGTGGAGACCCCCTGACTCCCGCCCCACCCCCTCCCCCACCCCGCCTCCTGCTGCTCCAGGCCGCACACTGTTCCCACCTCCCACGCCCTTTAATTAAGCTGCTGGGGCCAAGCCCCCAGCCAACCGTGGCTGACCACGCCACGCACCACCTCCCATTTCGGCCTAGCACCCACATTAAAGCTCTGCCAGCCTTTTGCACTAAGCGGCTTAAGGTCTTAAGAAGCCACGTGACCGCATCTCGTACCAGCCGGTCTCCTACAACAGCTCCTGGCAGAGTGCACTGCGGTTCCCCAGCCAGGACCCTCCCTGAGGTCCTGAGGAGCGCCGAGGAAAGCTCATCCTATCCTGAAGGGAAGTCATTTCATGTCCCCAAGCGCTCAGTACAGCAGTCCTATGCCAACGCCCAGTCCTCGCTTTCAAGGACCTTACCAAGAAAGATTATTGCCTCTGTGGGAAGTTTCACAAGATGCTCCAAAGCATCTCTTTCTTTGGTCATTGTTTTTTTCACTGTGTATTATACTTTTTGTTTATTTGGGTCACAGAGAGGAGAACCCCGAGAAGAGGATAATGGGAATGCTAAGCTAAATGGAATGGTAAGCGCCTGAGAACAGAGAGCTTGTCCCTCTTGCTCACCTTTGGGTATCTTCAGTGCAAGCATGGTAGCTGGAACATAGAGATGTTCAAGAAATATTTGTTGAATAAGGGAACAAATGAATGTGGGCTTGAGAATGTGATACTCGGGGTCAGCAGATCACAATATGGAACCCTTATGATCCAGGAGGTCTTTCCATTGACGGTCACCCCCAGTCTCCTGCCAGTTATTTCTGGGAGTGCCCACAGCTCTGCCATCTCCCTGTGTTTAGGAACGAGCCCACTCATGCTCCTGCACTCCCACCATCTCAAGGGCCTCTTGCTGCCCCAGCTGCGGGAACCCTTCCTTGGTTCTGCCATCCTCCCTACTGGTGCCACTTCTGGGATGAGGCAGGCTCCCCTGATTCCGTGGCACCTGTCTCAGTGCCCTGAGGCTCGAAACCAGTCCATAGGCCTGGCTCAGGATCAGACTCTCCTCCATCTCTCTCACTTCCCTGTCACTCCATCTTTTTTCCCTCTCCAAGCAGACAAATTCCTTCAGTTTCCATCAGCCAGAGCCAAAGTTCTGCAATCAACCTCTGCAAGTGGGTACCTGCAGAGGCCACCATCCTCCCAGATCTCAGCAGTCCAAGGCCAAGCCTCACATCTTTCTCTCAACCACTTTGTAATTGTGAGTGAAATCACGGGAGCTCCATGGCCTGTTTCTGGGTCTGCAAAATAAAATGGGTTTTAGCAGTCTATGGTGCTATGAGATTTATGAGAGAGAAGTGAAGACAAGAAGCACAGGAAGGAAACCTAGTGGTGGGAAGTCAGTGGTTAGCCAGGAAAGGCATGGGAGGGAGTGGTCCTCTGGGCACAGGGAGGAAACAGCCCACCCAGAAGCTAACAAGGGCAGCCCATGTAGCCAGTGCAGAGGTAAAAGACGCCTCTTAGGGTAGGTTCACCCCTTAGGTTCCAGGAGCTTCCATAGGTAGGAGAGCAGATGTGGCTCTTTTGTGCAGTCATACAGGATGGCTGGCTACACTCCAAATTTTCTTTTATTGCGTGTGCTTTTGGTGTGTATCTAAGAATCCATTGCCAAATCCAAGGTCACGAAGATTTTCTCCTGTTTTCTTTTAGGAGTTTTATAGTTTTAGTTCTTTAGTTAGATGTCTTCAACCCATTTGGAGTTAATTCTTTTTTTTTTAAGGTTTTATGTATTTATTCATGAGAGACAGAGAGAGAGAGAGAAGCAGGCCCCCTGCTGAGCAGGGAGCCCGATGCGGGACTTGATCCCAGGACCCTGGGACCATGACCTGAGCTGAAGGCAGACGCTTAACCGACTGAGCCACGCAGGCGCCCTGGAGTTAATTCTTATATAGAGTGCTGGTAATGGGCACGCTTCATTCTTTTGGGGGTAGTTCTCCAGTTGTCCCAGCTGTTGAGGAGGGGGAAAGACCTTGAGGCAACAATACATTGTGTCACTTCAATGTCCTTTGCTCCAGGGCCAGGAGAACCTGGGTAGAGTGTTTCAGGATAAGATCCTGAGGG